GACGTAGGTTTTTAGGTTTCAAATCTATCATTCGACTAAGTTATGGTAGTATAAATTAAAAATTATTGTTTGATTAGTTAGTAAAACAATAAAAATAGTTGACGAATCAAATAATAAATAATGAGGTAAAATTTCATACGCACTCTCTTCCTCTACCACTCTGGTTCTCTTCTTCGTACCTAACTCTCCCTCTTTTTGTCGCTCACAGACCGTAAAACACGCTACAAGCTGTACAGAGTACCTGCTAGCATAAGCGAGAGAGCACGTATTCGCAGATTTGCTACAACCAGTAAATATGCAAAATCATTAAAATGATATTTGAATTTTCATCACTTACAGCACAATTTTGAAGAATGGTCAGGACCTCCGTCCTCTTGCCAGCGACGCGAGAAACAAGTCAAGTATACCAAAACTCAATAAATATAATGTGAAAGACAAGAAGAAAGAGATACCTCACAAAACACAGCAGCTCTTAGTACCTAACACTGTATAGACCAGCTCTAATGTCCTGAGTACCATTTCAGTAAATGCAACCTCATTAGAAACACTGAAGAATCAAAAGAGACTGCTGACCAAATGCCACTGCAACCGATGAAGACGAGTTCCCGCCATCACCGGTATTTGCTATAAAATCGAATCACAGACCTTCTTTTCCACTAAAATGACCATGCAGTAGATCTCTTTGTTGAGCTTCGTCCGGAAACTTTTTTGAAATTTAATGTGGTAGATGATGCAGAAATAGTTAGCATTGTAACTCTCTTCAACTCCATCAAAAAAAATTTAAAAAAAAATTAAGCTAATAAAAAAATAAAATAAAACAAAAAAATATGATAAAAGAAGGAAAACAAACCTCAGAATTCATCGGATACCTCATAATCCACGTTTAAAAAAGTGGTATCAAAAAGAGAAAACAAAACACAAGTGACACGCCTGAACCATCTTAAACTTTTTGCCTAAAGAGTTACACACTAACAAAGTATGAAAATTTTAGCTACCTTAGAAGATAAAAACACATGCTTATTTACTTACCTTAAAAGTGCTCCTTAAGATTGGTAATAACCTTCGGTAGTTCTATATTAA